AATGCTGTAATACAAACCTCATTATTACGGGCTCGTGTTTTAAGACTGCCATCTAAGAAATTGAAATATTTGTTTCAAATGTACTACTGCTAACTGTATCACTTCCAAACTTGACTCATGAAGACATACCTCATGCATCTCACTTTGTAAAGTCAAGATTTAGACCAAAGATAAGTTTGACTTCTTGTTTTGTTCTTACTCAAATTACAAAAAGGAAAAGTAAAGAATTCATTATGATATTTGGTTACTTCCCAGAAAAAAAAAAAAAAAAGAAAGGACAGCAACATGATTAAACAGGTTTTGAAGTAGAGGACCTACGATATAGAGCACAGATTGAGCAGCCTGACAAATCTGTGCTCTCATATCAGATGATAATGCCAGATAAAATCTGAAATACAGTATAGACTTACAGACTAAAGTTTCAACACCAGTGCTGATGGCAGCGAGTTCTTTTGGCTTTCTTTCAGACAGACAATGTAGGTACTAATTATTTTTTAAGATAAAGCTCCCTACAGGACCTTCACATTGGCCAACTGAAAGACTGCACATTCTGAAATACATTTCACATTTTATAATCTTACTCAGATTTACTAGATGGAAATGAGAACAGCTGTTCGTAAACTGGAAGTAATCTTATATATTCTGATTTATACACAAACATAAAATCCACAACATGTGGCTATACCTTTTGATGTGTTATAGGTATTTTGACTACTTGAAAATTCAACACAATCACAGCCCATAAATAGCTGAAGTGCAACTGTATTACAAAACAACTATCCAAACAACCATGGAAACAGAGCAACTTGGTTGAAAAATAATGGATTTCCAAAGGATTTCCAATTTCAAAGAGAACAGATTATTTTTTCCAGTGCCAGGAGTGTACCACATGAAGAATACAGCAGTTAATCTATTTGAGACATGGCAGAAGGAGAAAAGCATATTCAAAAGTCCTAATATCCTGAAGAACAACATATTTCTAAGCTTTATTCTCACACTATCATACTAGATTGGGGTAACAGTTCAAACATCCCCTCTGAGCTTATCTCTACTGCTGTACAGTAACAACTTTTTAGGCACATTCATAATCAGTAACTGAGGTACAAGCCAATACCAATACTTCTAATGCATCTCCCCAGACCCCACAAACAGACAGCATAGCTCAAGGAACTCAGGCTGAATATGATCATTTTGTCATAATTCACTACACAAACAGATATTGCGCTACCATCCTCTTATGGATGTTTTTACATGCCTAGCCCTATATACTCTTACTTGTAGTGGCAAGGACATTGGAGCTTTCATCTGACAGTCTTGTTTATTTATGGGGTTAAAAAAAAAATTCTCTGCACAAAGCATGGATGCATTATTTAACAATAAGTTATATTAATGTTTTCAGTCATTCTGATCAATGTTTGTCAATTGCCCAAGTATCTGGCCAAATTCAAAGGCAGAAAGATTGCTACAAAATTTTAGGCATTTTAAAATGCAGCTCATTATTTTCAGATCTGCCAGACTCCATTATTTACACAATTGTTACCTCACCTCCTGTGCTATTAAAATTATATTTTTTTTATCTCCGTAGTCTTGCCCAATAGACAACATGTAGCACTTCTATTGTTCCCGATTTGAGGACTGAGAAATATTCTTTGAAGTCAGACTACTTTTTCACTAATTTATCACTATAATGATCACCTATTTTTTTTTTTACATAAAAGTGAAAACTTGCTGTGCTAATGCATTTCCTTGTTTGTATTAGAGCAGGCTAAATGAGTAGAAAACATTTATTACTAACCAACTTATTTTATCATAAATGCAATCCATTACAACAATAATGTAAATATCATACTTATTTTAACATTTTACTTGAGCTATTTTCTGCCTGCTAGGAATTCTAGTTATGAGCTGTATTGTGCCAAGGACAGACCAGTCTTTTCCAGACACTTACCCTCTGACAGCATGAATAAGTCTCAGTGATGGATAGGCGGTTCGCACTTTCAATTTATTCTTAAGGATTAATGCATTAACCCACTCCACATGCTTCTCTCCGCCTTTGACCATGAAAGCAGGGATCCAAAGGACACTGTCATTCAGCATGGATAGTCTATGCACAAATTTTTCTCTGTCACTCTCATTCCGAAAGCCTCCAAATGCTCTTTGTACAACTGATGGATTCATGGTAATAAAATCAGATTTAGTTCCCACATCGGCAGCAAACTCCACCACAGGAGCTAGATTGCACCTGAAGAGGAAGAAATTAATGGAAAAATGAAAATAAATATGAAACATTAACTCAGAAAAATGCATGCATGAAGGGAAAAGCTGAAAACGAACATGCAAGCCCATTTCAATTTAACGTGAGAAAAAAATACCAGTGATAATAGGTGTGATGACACACAGCATTTTACCCAGCCTGGACACTCATTAGGCAAACTTTTTAAAAACATTAAATGTATGTAATGCTGTGAAAAAAAAAAGTTCTTAGTACATTTGAAAACAGTGTCATCATGCTTTAGAACGGATTGACAGCTATAGCAGCACTTATGCATAAGAGTGCTTTCTAACACCTATTACCTTTCTTTAGTGTTCATTTGTCATCATGTTACCAACAGCTCATGCTCTTAAAGAAGCCATGCCGGCCAATTAAGGTATAATTTACACCAGTTAATAATTGACTTTTTTTCCCAATATAGCATTTAAATATGATTTACAAATGAACTTTATCCCATGTTAAATGAGGTTTTGGTAATTTCTTTTTTATATTATTACTGAGGCAGATTAGATGTTTTGAAATTTAGTATTTTTGTCTCATTTTGAAATGATTTTTTTTTTTTTAAGTATTAATCTCTCCATTTATTTCTCTAGGTCTCATTTTTCAATTTTGTTTAATATTTTCAATCACTTTGTGCTTGTTTGTAGGCTCGACAAAAAGGTCTCATCAGGACTTTGTTCAGCATTTTTTACCTCAGTTATATATATATACACACATATATATGTAATCACACAGAGTACTCTTCATAGGCAGCATTAGACGTAGTGACAAAATGCCATTCAGAAATTGTGATTTCAGTGACCAGTATGATCCAACTGAACAAAAACACCTCCACAACATCCACAGTGAACTAGCCTGTAGCTGATATGCCATAAATAAGTATCCTGACACAGCAATATTTTCACAATTTAACAAACTGCTCGGTTGAGGTAAAGAATGCTACACAATGTCGGAACTAGGTCCTTCAAAACATTGGCATGTTACAATATTCTTAATACAAATAGTATTCTTTTAGCTCTGCAATTCTTTCCTGGTACAGTAAAATTTTTACTTAAGCTTCTCTCCTAGCATCTTCTAATGGCCAGATCTCCAGTGTCATATAAAAATAACTGAAATCAGCAGGGCAATATTGATTAACAACAACTGATGACCTAGTCCTGACTGATAATATTAACTCCTCAGGACAACATTTCATTTTGTAATTATCAACTAAAGAAGTGGTCATGTCTTCTTCAGAAAGAGATGTTCTGAAGTCCACAAAACCTATATATTCTTAGGAGATAAAGGTGTCCCAGTTTCTGATGACACCTGGGCAGATATAAGTTTTCTTAAGAAACAGATTTACATTCTTCAGTAACTTTATACATATATTCCACAAACCACCTGAATGTGTTACAGGCTAAGTGTAGTATCTTTTAGAAAGTGGTAGTGGGGGCCCAAGAAAAATTCCAACTGATTTCAATACTGGCTTTAAAAATTGTTTCTAATAATTTATGGTTCTAATAAGATCCCTCGTCTTTGGCAGCTCCTCTCTTATCTGCCAGCATCAGTGCCTAAATCTTAATGTAAGTAGTTTGAAGCCAGCAGATAAACGTAATTTCACCTAAATCCTGAAAATTATCATAGGCATACCAAATTCAAGGTCTACCTACCTTGCATGTCATTACTGCTTTCTCAGTAGTATACTCAATACTGCATAAGCAGTATAAATTCTTAATATATTGCATATTTAGATTTTTCAAGTATAGCTTCAGAAGGTAATGAGCAATCCAAATACACTCAGTAACAATGGTGTTGTCTATGAACAGTTCTTTAGAATATTAGTCATTTTTTTCCAGCTTTGGTGTCTGAAATTAGACACCTGGTTATAATATTAGATGCAGATAAGGCATTTTGCTTTCCGAATGCTGAGCAGCTCTTAACCTTTGATCTTTTAAAAATTCAGTTATATAAATATGAATCAGTAGCAGTGCTGAAGTTTGAAATAATGTGATAAGTATATCTGCACTTTGAAAGGCTCTGGTTTTGAAAGGCTCTCTTTTCAAAGAAGTAACTAGACAGTGTTAGCAGTATAGTTATTTCAGTAGAACACAAAGGTAAGACAAGCTCTACAAATAAGTCTAGCTCTCTTAACGAAATACAGATTACTAAATTACTTGTAGTTGACCAAGTTATAAAAATACTATCCTCATTAAGCCACTTCTCATGTTCTTAGAGGTTACTTCCTTCAAAGAATTATTCCAGTCGTCATTACATTAGAAGTGTCAGTATTGAATATTTACTCTATATTTATCCAAACATTTGGAAAATATAAAACAACTGCTAAAACCCATCAATTAAAATCAGCACATTCTTCAGTAGGGAATAAATGAAGCAATTATGTCAGAAATATTTCCTTACAATTTCAAGAGTTTATGTGCTAGTGACGACCTGTAACACTCACCCTAAACTGCAAGTACCAAATAATTTGTGTTTCCAGATTATTTCAATAAAATTTTGTAGAAAGGTATCTTAGAATCACAGAATAGTTTTATCTAGTCTAAATCTACCCTCTTTTAGTTTCAAAGCAGAACCCCTTGTCCTATTGCAACAAGCCCTGCTAAAAAGTTTGTCCTCATTTTTCCCGTGTTTCAGGGATAATTAAACTAGCTGTTGTGTATTTACTTATAGACCTGAGTATATATAAATAGCTTTTGTTACGTATTTCAGAGCTTTGATCTTATCCTCTAATGCCTCTTTATGCTATGCCACAGTTTCATACAGTTGTTGGAATCTAAGTTTGTTAGCAGACATCAATGAACTCCTCTGGTGTCCAGTGACAGGACTGGGAGCAATGGCCATAAACTGGGGCCATGAACTGGAAAACAGAAGGTTCATCTGACCATGAGGAAACCCTTCTTCACTGTGAGGGTGTCGGAGCACTGGAACAGACTGCCCAGAGAGGTGGTGGAGTCTCCTTCCCTCGAAACTTTCGAAAGCCACCTGGACTTGTTCCTGTATGATCTACTCTATGTGATCCTGCTCTGGCAACCCCCCCTGGTTGGACTAGATGATCTCCAGAGGTCCTTTCCAACCTCTTCCACTCTGTGAATCTGTGTGAATCTGTAACTCTTTCAAGAAAAGTTTGTTTTCAGAGACACACATAAATGTACACTCATTTTAAGTCAAATTAAGAAGACTATTAACTGGAAAACTTTAAAATAGGTAATGCAGTAACCTTCCTTGTTATATTCTTTAATTCTAGCTCATTTGTTGTAAGGCACAGAATGCCAAATATATCCAAAACAGTGATGAAGAGGTGAGAGGGACTGCACCCCAATCTTCATCATTACATGCCTAGAAATTTGTACACAATAAATGAAAATTACTTTTATTTTTTTTAAGGTGTCATTGCTATATCAAATCCAGCAGGAAGAATAAATAGAAGATTGTAATTTACTGAGTTTCTTCTTTTTCACATGCTGCATTATTGATACCTTTGCAACTCTATGATTGCTTAAAATCTGACTTCAAAACACAATTGTCTACAACACAGCATCATCTTCCATGCATTCTAAGAAAACTTCAGGACTGCCTTCAGGTTAGTCGACCTGCAAATAAGCAGGCTGCTTATTTACAGGACGAAGTTGTTACGAGGTTACTAACACTAAGATGACGAGAACAGGTTGTAATTAAGTGTCACGCATAGCACTGAAGATTGACTTGAGCAATTAAGTAAACATCTGTAAATAAAAGTGTTGAGAATAAACATCCATTATGTAAAGCTTTGTAAACTTCCTTCTCCTGAGCCCAAGCTATTGACTATTTCAGAGAAAATTATGTAATGCAGTTCACCCCAGCAAAAATAATTTTACAAAACAATTGTGTTCATGAGTTCTTTTTGTTGCTTTTTTCCTCCCCATAAACATTCAGTGCAAGTGATTCTTTAAAACTAATAAGCTTGTAATTTTGTTTAATCAGAAACTCTAGTTCCTTCTTTTTTCCCTTGCATTAAACTAGCAAAAATTAAGAGTCATTATATATTCCCTTACTTCTTCTAAGCTCTATGAAGAGTGGAAGTGCTCAGAAACTGGTCTAATGAGGCAGAAATTGGTACCTTTGGGAGAGGGGGCTAGTGTGATTTGTAGTATCATAGGCAATAATATGCAAGGTACCTCAAATTAATGCTGCAGTCCCTCTTCTTCCCATGACACCAGCCCAGACCATATCCAAAAGCTCAGCACAACCATTTCAGCATAGTTAGTCTAAACTTACTATCAGGCATGAATTATATGATTTAGGTGATCAGTAAGTTTACAGGGCCAATTACTAATTTACATAGTATCCATGCTACTGAAAGCCAAATATATAAATAGAAAGGTTCACAGTAAAAACGCAGAGGCTCCCACACACGAGCTTTCAGTGTGGTAGCACATTTTCTACAGGAACATGCACAGCAATGCTATCACTAAAAAGAGATCTGGAGTAAAAGGGAAAAATTAGTTCATGTCTGAAATATCCCATGGTATTTTGGTATCTGTAGCATAACTGAGATCCTAAGATATAAAGACCAAAAAGTCCCAGTGATTGAAATCTGTCTGTTGGACGTATATCGTTACAGTGGCATATATTAAGAAAAAGTTGGGGAATAAAGAACCAAACTGCCAATGGCCAGAGTTGTATGCCATGAAAAGGACTGAAGAACAAAGTAAGTGCTGTTACACCACACTTAAAGTCATCAACACTGGGTCTGTTGTGACACCTTTATGGCCCAAACACAACATACTTAGTCTTCTAGAGAGCAGAGCTTAAAAAATAGAACAATGAAATATATTCACAAAAATACACTCAAATGAGAATTCAGTTATTTCACACAGATTCAGCTGAACTTACTTGACACTAAATACACAGTGTATGTATATGCACGTACATAACATACATAATGTATATTATGCCCAATACATAATATTCAAAGGCCATATATCAGTATTTGAGTTAATTTTAAATAAAAGCCATAAAATATTGCTTGAGTAAAAATTATTACTATTCCCATTTTATTTGACATTGAGTACTGAAAGAATATTCTTCATATAGTAATAATGCAAGAATTGGCCATAAATCTGTATGCTTGTTAATCATTTAACAATCTGTGCACTTGAGGTTTACAGGTTGAAATAAATATTTAGAAACCATATAAAGCCCAAACTGCACAGAAGGGCTGTAAAAACGTGCTTTGTTTCATTAGCATCTTCTCCTTGTGGAAAGTCAAAAATACCCATCACACAGTGCTAACCACATACACCCCGAGAAGCTTGAAAATTAAAATTAGATTGTTGCTGGAGACATAACATTAAAACTCTCTGAAACGTAAGGCATTACATAAACTACTA